AGCTTTGGCTATTCGTAAATTTAACCCCTTTTTATGTGTACAAAAACAATTTGTCGTAACCTTGAATTTACTTTGGTAATCCTTAAGTCATTCTATGGCCTAGGATAACGTGATAATTTCTTATTCTTTCTATACGATATAAAATTGTTTCTTTCCCCATTGTCACCTTTTTACTTGAACTTTCATTTAATTGACCTTTATTAATTTTCATATAAAAACGCCCTGACAAGTATATGTGTGACCAGATTGTTCGAAATTATGGCCCAAATACATCACATTATTCAAATGAACTGTCTTCTCATGATGTTATCGAAATTTAATTTTTACTGTATATCAATAGTTGAAATCATGAGTCGATTGAAGCTAGACCACCATGGAAAACCTGCAAGTATTGAAGGCCGTTTCGACCTAGTGTGGGACTCCTCAGCAGTGAGCATCCACGATCCCGCCCCTCGCAAGATTTGAACTTAGAATCTGTCACTTTTGTGTGCGGGCGCTTAACCATTAGACCACTGAGCCGGTATCTAACGGTGTTAATGTTTAGCTTCAACCAATCCACTGTATATAAAAGAAAAATAATGATAAGAAGAGAAAATCACACATCACATTTCCCCAAAATAATTAACATAGAAACATTGATTATTATCATCCATTCTGCTACTACCGTAATCCCATTAAAATACGTCAATAATATTTCAAATCTCTTTGGTCTTTGCTTTACTTTAGTATAAACAAAAATAAATAACTAATGTTGATGAGATTAATAATCAGACATGTATATTTCCTCTTTCCCTGACCATGATGCATTATATATAGATACATGTACATTGTTTTGTCTGTCATATAGTACACAGTGTATTATATTGTCAGTAAAATAAACAGACAATAAAGCTGGAGGTGTTAGTCAGTTGGTTATTAATTCATGAATAATCGACAAGACAATGATTCATCAAGTAAGCTTGCAAAATATATTACTGTTCGGTAAACATTTTGACATAACATTTGTAAGATGTAAATTAACATTATATAAGGAATACATACCTTCGTGTGCTTGTATGTGTATTTAACCAGCGATCTCAATTGACAGATAATTGAAAAATTATTTCATTTCAGTTAGAGTTTCATTGTTTGTATAATGTTAACATAGAATATAACTTCAACTTGTTGAAAACCATAAATATAGATAGACAAATAATGCTTCTGTAAAATGTGCTGTCATTATGAATATAACAGATATAGAAACTTTAATAGTTGAAATCATAAATCAATTAAAGCTAGGCCACCATAGAAAATCTGGAAGCACTGGATGATCGTTTTTTCCTATTGTGGGACTCACGAGCAATGAGCATCCACGGTCCCGTCTTGTGACATTCGAACCCGGGTCTGTTGTGATATAGTGACTCACTGAAGATAATGGTGGATGTGTCACTCAATTTCGTGGGTTAGCTGAAGTTAAACATTAATACCGTTGAATACCAGCTCGGTGGTCTAGAGGTTAAGCGTTCGCGCGAGAGACCGATAGATCCTGTTCCCGAGTCACGCAGGGGGCAGCATCTTCGATGCTCACTGCTGAGGAGTCCCATACCAGTATGAAACGGCCTTCCAGTGCTTGCAGGTTTACTATGGTGGTTTAGCTTCAATTGACTCATGATTTCAACTATTAAAAAAGTTACTATAATATCCACCAAACCCCTTCTGATACAGATATAGAAACGTCAAATACAATACAGGGGATTTACTAGCTATTATGAAAAAAATCTTAAGAACAAGATGTTTTTTTAAGATTATAAGCTACTAACGATGTCTGTTACCAGCTGGTGAATTACATATGAATAGAAGTATGCAGAATTTTAGAAAGTAAGCGTATGTTAGTTACTATAGCTTTGAACGGAAAAAGATTTAGTTTTTTATTATTATTGTTATGTGGTCGATATAAGTTGTCCAGTTAGTGGAAGTTGAGATAAATATTCAAAATGTAACCTACACAATAAATATCATTAAAGATATAAAGAATTGGAAATTGATTTAATTTCATTGTTTATAACATAATAAAAGTGAATAAACCAGAAGAATGTTGAAAGGAGCATTGTAGTAGGTAGCCACCTACTACAATAAGATCGAAGGGATTTGTATACAGTAATGAAAATGGATTTATAGTAATGACAAACGAATTGTCAATAAATACGATCGTTACCCCCTGAACAATGTACCATATGGAATCAGTAAATATCAAAAGATAAAACCTAGCTTCCTACTTACTGATTTATGTCTGTTACCCCTTGTGAACGAGCATAGGTCACTCACAAGAATTTCCCATCCAACTCTATCCTCTAATCTCCTTTACAGTTGTTTCCAGCTGCTACTCATTCTTTTATTTCCAATTCCAGTTCCCGATGGAATGTGTTCCTTAGTCTTCCACTTTTCCGTTTCTATTCACGATTCCAAGTTAGTGCTCGCTTCGTGATGCAATCTGATGGTTTTCGAAATGTGTCCTATCCATTTCCAGCATCTTTTCCTGATTCCCTCTTCAGATGACAGCTGGTCTTTCCTCTCGCACAGTAGGTCGTTGCTGATGGTATGCGGTCAATGGACATTGAATATCTTGTGTAGACAACTATTTATAAATACTTGTACATTTTCGATGATGGTTGTAGTAGTTTTCCAAATTTCAGCTCTATATAGTAGAACTATCTTGATGTTCGTATTGAAGATTATGACTTTGGCGCTGGCTTGAAGACAGTTGTTTTGAGTTCCATATATCTTGTTTAACTGTAGGAATGCTTCCATTATATTACCAATCCTTGCCTTTATGTCTGTATCGGATCCTCATTGTTCATTGATGATAAAACCTAGCTTGTTGATGTGAACAAAGAAACAAAAAGCCTTGACAAACTACGAAAGCTATTTTTCGAGACGTTATTTCAGTTAATTCAAAGCTTGTAAAAAAATTAACATTCATTTTTGTCTCTAGTCTATTCAACAGATCATAGGTTTTCGTTTGATATATGGTTCACTACCATAGCCCTTTTTGTTCCAAAGCTATTTTAATTCAAACATAATATTTTGTACTCTATTTTCTACTCTAATTCCCAGCTCTGGACATAATTGTATTTTCCTAATTATTGTACATTGTGTTCGGGATAGTCATCTATTTATTCATGAATCTTTTTACATTAATCTGAAATCGGGAACCAGATCGGAAATGGGGATAACTCGAGTAGTGTTCCAGTTGGCTTGTCTTCTCTCACTCGTGTGCTTGTCAGCCTGTGATAGAATAGTTTTTTTCTCCCTACCCCACTTCGAACTCACGCGTACTAGCCTGAAGGTAAGGCCGGTCAGCCTATTGCGTGAAGGTCTTAATCTGGATTAGACAAGTTATCCTCAGCACCAAAAGTGGGTAGACAGATCAAAGATGTAGCAATTCTAGATGCAATAAATTAATATTTCGGAAAATTATTACACTTTCCAGTAACATTAAGTTAGTTTGACAAAGTAATCAAATAATATTTTTGTGAATCGCTCAACACCCGAATAGACTGTCTAATGATAATACTTTAACTAAGGATCAGTATTAAATAAAAATGTAGCGTAACAAAATCTCGAACTCAATGACTAATGGCCTATGATGTTGATTCGTAATTCAGCCAATAAGATAGTAACAATAAAGTACAGTGTGAAACTCGAAAACATTGAATAATTCTTGTTAAATTTTTTTTCTGACTTTATATTGCCAGTTCAGGAATTTCAGATCTCAATTCAAGAATAACATACTTTGTCAATCAGTTCAAATTCAGTGATCCATACTTTTTATTTTTGTCAATTTAATAATGATGATTAACTGTTTCGATGGCTGATAAGGGACTCTTGCCAGATATAATTAAACTCCATCAATAACAATTTCCCTTCAGAATATAAAAACACTATCTAAGAGTTGTTAATAAGTATAGAAATAATAATAGGCTTATTTTATTTTACCTTTTAATGTCTTAGCAACTGTTAATAGTTCATCAATATGTTAAGTTGATGACAAAAACTGTTTCTAATATCAACTAACCTTCAAAATTTACTCAGTTAGATGATAGTTGACATCGTTAAATAATTGGTAATACTCCCCAAGGTTCATATCTATATGACTATATCATTATAAATCACCAGCCTAGATGATCTATGTCGAAATGACTAGAGGCCTACTCGAGTTAGACGGGAATGGTGTGACGAACAAGCTAACGTCGAAGACATACTTTGCGGTCAGCATCTTACGTGGATTACCCCATTGACGTATCAATATACTACAGGTGCTTTGAAGACTGTACAACGCAAAGGACATTATTACAGAGATATATATTAGTTAAAGTAGATACAAGCGAAGGTAAGATCACTGCCGCATGGGCCAGTCGATGGCGTACGATTAACTGATGCGCGTTGGTCGTCCTTGACCTTGACGGGAATCAATGATTTGTTCGATATTCAATGACCCAACTGCCGGATAATTCGGCTAGGGCTCAGTTGAATTTCACTGGCCCTATATCATTATCTAATAATATTACTGTATGCTGTAATTTTATGATTCTTATTAACAAAAATATTGTATTGAAAGCAATAAAATTTCAATATATTCAATCCACTATTTCAACTAGGTTTAGTCTTTTTTGTTTTTTGAACCTTATCAGATCCCAGATTGAAAAATAGGTTTAAGAAATTTAACACTACACTCATTTTTGTGCACTTTATAAAACTGATCTATTTTTTCAGTATTTACATGGATTAGGGTTACTATGGTACACGTCCACAGTATATACATTTAATATACTTTAGGAAACTTTATAGAGTATGCTCCAGTTTTTAATTAGACAAGACTCTAACAAAGTATCACAAAAGATAAGATTAGTTATCATTGTTAGAAATTGAAAGGCCTATAATATGAACATATCTCTTATTTCATATCTCTAGTGTTCTATCAATAAAATAATCTGTGAACGATTTTCTTTCTTTTTATATAGATATATACATCAGGCAGTCGCCCTGGCCCAGTGACAATCCCTGCTCGAAGCAGAAGTGCACAGCCTAGTCCAGGTCCAAGTCCAACCATCAGTCCTGTAACATGTTTTCGAGCTTCTGAAAATAATTTGATACCAGGTTCTGGAGGAGAGAAAAATTCATATACAGCAACATCACAAAAAATTAATTTAAATGTTACAAATGTACAACGACGTGGTTCTTCACCTTCTAGAGTTGAACATAACAATGTAAATTCATTTTCTTCTGATGCACCAGAGGTAACCTAATATTAAAAAACGTTTAAAATTTTTTGAAGGTTACGGTAGTTTTTCAACTTTTTTTTCTAAAATTTATGATAATCAGAATGATAATAAACAGTCATTTACGTAATACCAATTCGATTCAGTAATAGATACAACTAGACAGAACTATAAGGTTGCCATGGTTTCCAGCGTTTAGTTGTTTAGTTACTTATCAATAACATATTTAAAATCCAGTGGTTAAAAATACCATATATATATATATATATATATATATATATATATATATATATATATATACTACACTTTCGTTCACCGTTGGTAGAGTGACAAATCTTCAGTATGTCCAATAATTTAGTTTCATGACTAATTATCCTTTCAGTTATGCGATCATTTATCACGTAGAGAAGTATTACACACTTTTTTTCACATTTCTATTTTAACGTTTATGCAGAAAATGAAAATACAGTTTAGTACGTATCGGCTTAATTGTAAACCATTATAACGAAATTAGAAAACCAGGTAATATCTCGATAGTGTAATAAGAAGACAAAGATTATCAGAACTATGTTATATATTATCAGAAGGGGCTTTGTGGATATAATAGTAAATTTTTTAATAGTTGAGATCATGAGTCAATTGAAGCTAGACCACCATAGGAAACCTGGAAGCACTGGATGGCCGTTTCGTTCTATTGTGGGACTCCTCAGCAGTGAGCATCCACGATCGAACCTAGGACCTATCAGTCTCGCGCCAGGTGCTTAACCAACTAGACCAGTGAGCCGGCATTCAACGGTATTAATGTCTAACTTCAACTAATCCACGAAATTGATCGACACATCCACCATTGTCCAGTGCTTCCAGGTTTTCCATGGTAGTCTAGCTTCAATTGACTCATGATCTCAGCTGTTGAAATATGTTATACATATTAGCACAATATATTTCGAACAATCTGATCACACATTACTTACTCGTTACGAACATTTATACGTAAAAATAAAAGTTCAACTAGACTAGAAATGGAGGGTAAGAGGAGACAAGGATAATAAAGAAAATAATGTGAAAACAATTTGGAACTTCATCACTTTGGATAATAAGCTAATATTACCAGGATAGCTTTGAGGTAAAAAAAAATGTCTTTGAATACATAAAGGGGGTTTGTATTTTCGTATGGCTAAGGCTTCAACAAACCTTAGTATACACCCCCTTACACAAAAGCTGAGTTCAAATCAATCTTATGACCTGTTTCAATTATGCGCTTGGCAACAGAGGATGATAGATGTTTATTGGGTCATTCGATTCTATTTGTTTCTGCAACCATTTACGTACATGTTCACACACCCTAATTATGAGATTACGACTACTCCTCCCGATGTATGTGACCACACACAATAAAACTGATAAAATAGGGAAATGTGACGCAATCGCTTTTTCTGTCTTTTAAGTTTTCAATGGAGCTTGAACCTTGTTGTTTCCGTGATAATAACATTTGTTGCATAATATATCTTACTAATGACTGATTTAAGTCTTTATTTCAATAAAATGCTATTTGAATCACATTTAAATGGTCAGGTAATGTAGACAGACATTTTTTCCGCCAAGGCTATAGTAGGTCTTACAGTACCATGAACTTTACATCTATTTGTGAATTTAAGGAGATAGCCGTTTTCCATTAACGTTATATTTAGCAACCTAACATCATCATCAATGGCATCATTTGTGCAAATACGATAATCTGATAATCTTCGTCTTCATATTACACTATCGAAATTTATCAAAGAGACTAATTGCTTCAAATAATATCTATTTAATATTATCAAATAAGTCACAATACGTGGAAAGTTTCTTACTACACTTCTAGTTCTTTCTGAACATTAGGACGAACTATCTATTTTGCTTACTTACTTACGCCTGTTACTCCTCGTGAAGGAGCATAGGCCGCTCACCAGCATTCTCCATCAAACACTGTCCTGGGCAATCCTTTCTAGCTCCATCCAGTTGTAATTCATCGTTTTCATATCTGCTTCTATTATCCGACGCAATGTGTTCTTTGACCTTCCTCTTTTTCGCTTGCCTTCAGGATTCCAAGTTAGGGCTTGCCTCGTGATGCAGTTTGACGATTTGCGTAATGTGTCCTATCCATTTCCATCGTCTTTTCCTAATTTCTTCTTCAGCTGGAAGTTGGTTTGTTCTCTCCCACAGAAGGCTATTGCTGATGGTATCCGGCCAATGGATGTTGAGTATCTTGCGTAGACAGCTATTTATAAATACTTGTACTTTCTTGATTGTGGTTGTTGTAGTTCTCCAAGTTTCAGCTCCATACAGTAGAACTGCCTTGACGTTCGTATTGAAGATTCCCACTTTGATATTGGTTGAAAGTTGTTTTGAGTTCCATATGTTCTTCAATTGTAGGAATGCGACCCTTGCTTTGCCGATCCTCGCCTTTACGTCTGCATCTGAACCTCCTTGTTCATCGATGATGCTTCCTAGGTATGTGAAGGACTCTACATCTTCCAGAGTTTCGCCATCAAATGTGATTGGATTGCTGTTCTCCGCTTTGAATTTGAAGACCTTTGTTTTCCCTTTGTGTATGCTGAGGCCTACTGATGCAGAGACTGCTGTTACATTGGCTGTCTTCATCTGCATCTGTTCGTGTGTACGTGATAGGAGGGCTAGGTCATCTGCGAAGTCCAAGTCGTCTGATTGATTCTGAGCTGTCCATTGTATTCCGTGTTTTCCTTCAGATGTCGAGGTCTTCATAATCCAGTCGACCACCAGAAGAAAGAGGAAGGGAGAGAGTAAACAGCCTTGTCTGACTCCGGTCCTTACTTGGAATGCATCTGTCAGCTGTCCTCCATGCACGACCCTGCACTGTAGTCCGTCGTATGAGTTCCGGATAATATTGACTATCTTCTCAGGGACTCCGTAGTGTCGAAGAAGTTTCCATAATGTTCTCCTGTCTACACTGTTGAATGCCTTTTCATAATCCATGAAGTTTTAGATTTCTTCAAGTCAAATTTTTGTATCAAAAGCCTATAGCCTCAGTCAATACCTATTGGTCACGATATTATTCATTAGTATTCAATCTTATAATGTTAGATTCTTTGTTAGAGGACTCATTTAACCTTTATTTTAGATTAGATGTAATACAAAATTCTGGATCGTTAAATACAACTAAGGTCCTATTTACTGAACTTTCATTATCTAGTCAATGAGACTGAAATAACGAAATGAATTCTATCAATATTTATCTAACTTTGCCTAAAGAGATTTACTTGTTGTTACTGATAATCGAACTAATCATGAGGATTTAAATATACTTCAACATTTTTCTGAATCTCAGTTTTAAACAGTATTTGAAGTTCTGTTACAAATGTTGTATATTCGTCTTTTATTTTATCATATGAGGATTTAGATGTATTGATTAGTGGTGAGACTATAATTTATGGACGAACCTATCAGATATGATATAACAGGTCTTGGATTTTGTCATTGAAATTCCTTGATCCATTTGGCTAAATAGTGTTTCGGCATTTTAGCCTATGTCAGTTCGTGATGAAAGCTCTAAGTCTAATTCCTAACGCTAACCACCAAGTGTAAATTATAATTCTAATTCGTTACACTGGCTTATAACCTTCATATAGTCCTAGTTAGTAGGTGGACATTCTCAGGGTTACTTTAGCCTTACTCAAAGGGCATCCACAAATTACAGTATCGCCTGATTAGTTTATACTGGAAATAAGTCTTCAGACTGATATTTTTTGTGATAAAATTACTTCCCTTACACCTTAAACTCAATGATTTTAGAAACCTAAATTAGAAATGAAACCAAACTACTCGATAGCTTAGTTAGTTTTTTGTCAAATACTCGTTGTTGTTTTAAAGAGAGCGAAAATGACAGGTATTTACATCGAATACATATCAGTAGTATATTTAAAACTTTTAATTTCATTATAAAAATAAAGGAAGACAATGAAGCTCACATTTTACCGTCAGTTAGAGAAATTATACGTCAAGTTGAAGCTATGACACAATCAAATGCTGCCACATCAACTACAGATATATTTACTCTTGGTCTTAATAATGGAACAACAGGGAATCATTCCATTCAAAAAGAAAATAATCAACAATCACAATTATCAAAACAACGTAAAGTAAATTCAACTAATGATAATCAATTTGCACGAACTGGTATACTTAGACAATGTGGTAGTAGTCAACGAACACCAAGTGCACCACAGCTTAGAACAGCTAATTATGGTAATTCACAAAAGTATACACCTATTCAAGCAAAATTCAATGCAGCTGTCGCTTCAAATTCACAAAATACTACAGCACCTCCTGTTCCACCTCATGGAATTGCACGTAATAAAGTAAGTTAAATGATATTGACATTACTTAACTCTAAGTTACTATATATATTTTGTTATTTACTAAAACTGGTTCAATTATGTGATAATAGTTGTTTAATATATTTAGAAATTTACAACTGTATAGTTCAGTTGTGATCGTGTTTTCTTTTTCTTTATCTAATGTATCCATAAATCATAATATCATGGAACTAAAATAGTTTAAAGGTAGCCATTATGTTATTATTCTTGTGATATCCTGATGGAAACATTAAGCAAAAAGAAAAAGACATTTCCTTGTTATGTTATATATACACAATTGGTTAGTCTGAAAATAAGAATATATATATATAGTCCTAGAAACATGTGGGACTAATAATCGATTACAGTAATTAGTAAGAGAATTGTTTAGCTTCGTAAACCTATGCATTATCCACTTAAAGTTACAAATCATGTATTTTTTTGATGTTGTTGTAGTGAAAACAGTAAATAACAGTAGAATGTTATGTACATTGTACATAATTTGTGAAATACACACTAACATTGTATGTACATTTTAATCTCATAAGATAAATTGGGGACAATAATTATGTGACTAAATGTTTGTATGTTAATATTCGTATAAGAAGGATCAGTTGATTGATTTAAATAAATTTATAGTAGAAATTACAAGAGAAAAAAATCCACAGTTATTGACATGTGCTAAACTATGATCCTGAATAAATAAATAAATAATATGGGGCTCCTCAGCAGTGAGCACCCATGACCACGCACCGCGCGGGATTCGAACCCAGGACCTATCAGTCTCGTACCAGGCGCCAAACCAAATAGATCACTGAGCCGGGGTCCAACGGTGTTAATGTCAAACTTCAACCAACTCCATACTAGAACGAAACGGCCGTCCAGTACTTTCAGGTTTTCCATGGTGTTCTAGCTTCAATTGACTCATGATTTCAATCAGTGAAATTTCTAAAATCTCCACAAAACCCATTCTGATAATAATCATCTGCTCACTAGTGACTGACTTCAAGAGATACTCCAGGAGTTCTGGTGAGAAGCCGTGACCAGTGAAGTTCAACCAGGTCTGTTATGAGACACCAACTCACTGGAGGAAATGGTATACGGTGGCGCAACTTCGTGGATTGGTTGAAGTTAGACATTAACACTGTTGAATGCCGGCCGGCTCAGTGGTCTAGTTGGGTAAGCGCCTTGCGCGGGACTGTTATGTCCTATGTTCGATCGTGGATGCTCACTGCTGAGGAGTCCCCTGCTGGGATGAAACGGCCATCCAGTGCTTCCAGGTTTTCTATGGTGGTCTAGCTTTAATTGACTCATGATTTCAACCAGTGAAATTTCTAAAATCTCCATAAAACCCCTTCTGAAAACAAATAACAATACTTCCTGAGTTCGAATCTCATGGAACGGGATCACGGATACTCACTGCTGCGGAGTCCTACACTAGGACGAAACCGTCGTTCAGTGCTTTCAGGTTTTCCATGATGACCTAGCTTCAATGAACTCATGAATTCAACTATTAAAAAAAATTACTGTAATATTCATATATGGAAAATTTGTGATGAAATTTTCTATAGGGATTGTAGATTATGCTTAAAATAATTTTGCTATGATGATTTAACAAGGAGCATCGTCATGATAGCATTATTACTTCAAAAGAAATACTTAATATTTGATTGGTTTTTGGAGTAAGTCGACAAGAAACCTTGAACCTAGATTTCGTAACATTTGACACTCATCATCAAGATATACTTGTATTTTCGAGGGAACTGGGACTCTATGGTGGATTCGATTCTATGTCATCCAGATATATTCATCCATCACCTTATGTCTCAAGATTGTGCACACGGTGGTGAGTCACCTAAACTAGTAGTCAAATTGCAACTCAGTGATCAATCAACTATAAATAATTTTAAGAGGTATTAGTGGATTAATTTAGGTCATCCAAAAGAGAACACTTGTGTGTATTTTGAAAGTTACATCGACATTGGAAACCTAGAAGCACTGGATAGCCCTTTCGTTCTAGTACGGGACTCTTCAGAAGTACGCATCTATGAGTCCTCACACGGGGATCGAACTCAGGACCTTCGGTTTCATGCGCCAACGCGTACCCTCTATATCACTGACCCGGGATATGGTATGAAAGCTTTGCTTCATCACAGCGCTGCATTTACTCAACAAGCAGACTGTTGAATGTAATTCATCATTTTATAAGCTCTAATATATGCAATACATTTATTATTAGACACTTCTTTCAGTGTAAATGACTCACTTTAGTGTTGTTCAAACTGTTGATTGCTTCATATATTTTATTAAAGTGATACTGTAAGGGTGATGTGAAAGGTTTAAGAACAAAATCCGCTTCTAAACACTTCACTTTCTGTGTACCAAGTAAGCTTAAAGATTATTCACAGTGCCTTCTTGTTAACAGCTTCATATAAGTTCAGTGGATTTTGTCATTTGTCCAATCGGGAAGCTACATGTCAAGATTTGGGAATGTTCTTCCGAAAAGATATCTAGATGTTATGTCTTCGGCTCTTTCTGAGCTTCTTAGAGCTTCCTACAGTTCACCCGGAGTCGTCTTTACAAATAGTAAATCTATTAGGAAGTTTTAGGACAACACACAATATTTATTTTATTTCACGGTAGTATATCAATACATTTAAGTAGTCTAAAACAGATTTCAGTAACTTTTTTTTAGTTAACAGTCAAGAGTTAACAAAATTTCAAAGAGAATCGAAGTCTAAGAGATTTACTTTAACTTCTATTCATAACATTTATTCAGCGTACCCTGTAAGAAAATTTATTAAACCTGAAGAAAACAATTGACTAGCACGTTGCAATTTTCAAGAATTATTTAATTGCATTCATCTCAATTCTAAAGTTGTAGATTGAGATCATGAACTGATTGATGTTAGACCACCATTGAAAACCTGGAAGCACTGGACTGTCGTTTCGTCCTATTGTGGGACTCCTCAGCAGTGCGCGTCCACGATCCCGCTTGCATTGCTGAGGAGTTTTCAATGGGGGTCTAATATCAATCAGTTCACGATCTCAATCAAAAATGAAATTCCTTTTTCTCTTCTATCAGCTGTTATTACTTTTTGTTTATCATGAAAAATAACTAAACACCAACTGTTATTTACTTTTGTTCAACCCATAAAATATTCAACTTCTAAATGTATATTTTAATGTTTGTTGATGAAAGTAATTTTGGTCAAATGGAATGATTTTCAATAAACAATAAAATGCAATACAAATTTGTTATTTCATTTTTAAGAAAGCTTTTTAGTAAACACTCCATTAAAGCAGATATTATATATGAATTAACTAAAGTAATAGGCATACATTTTACTACTCAGTGTTTGTGTATTACTACCTATAATGAACCAAATATGTTAGTATTGTAGTGGTATTTGTTCTAATCATACAATCTTTGAAACTGAATATGAGATAACTGAGGAAATTCATATTTAACATATAACATGAAAAGAAGGTCAGCAATAGTGAACACGGCAATAATCGATCGGTATGGCGGAGTTCAGCCATACAGGCATGATCGCCCCATGTAATCTTTTGTTTTTATGCTGAATATATTATTCTCTGCCTAGAACAAAATATGTTCTTCAGAAGTATTAGACGCTTTATTTCTGATTATCATGATAGGAAAAGTCAGTGTAGACTATGATGTGACTTCCACGTAAGATCTTATAGATTAGGTAGTCACGTTGTGACATATCTACAATTTTGGGATTAAACTTATTATTATAGTAGCAAAGATAAATGTATTACTAAAGAAGTAGACCATAATTCTGCAGTATAACGTGTAATGATATAGACTATTCAAAATATGAACAGTGAAGGCGAGTGAATATTTTTTCACTATTCTATATCCAAATGGAGTATGTGTAATATTGTTATCATAAAGCAATTAAGACATACGTTTAGATAAAAAGAATTCAGACTAAATGTGAGTAGTTTGCACCGATCGAAATATGTGCGTATTGCTGAGGAGTTCCACAATAGGATGAAACGCCTTTCCATTGATTCCAGGTTGTCCATGGTAGTCTAGCTTCAATTGACTAATGATCTCAACTATTAAAATTGCAATATGTGTTTATTTTGTTGAAAATGATAAAACGTTTCACTATCATTAACAAATAATACGGCATCATGTTTGATTTTCAATACTAAATCAAATTATTTGTTAATACGAATATGTAGTGATTAAAATTGCATACGTTAATTGACATATATTAATAGTAATTAATGTGATTGTCTTGTTACTTAGGGATTCGTATGCTCGAGTTTGAATCCCATCGTGTGAGAGCTAATTATAAACTACTCAGTCTCTTAAAATCGAACTAAGTGAATAATAATTCACATCTTTTGCCTAGTGGATGAAAGTCTTTCCTAGATGAGTATTAAGAAGTTTGTCTCGGTTCATAAATCTACACCAATAAATACTGTTAACTTTTAGACCTTCAGGTCTAGTAATGATTTAATTATCTAACGGTTACTCAGTAGTTCTGACTAAGTAATAATCTCATGACTATTTATCAGTGGCTTTGAAACAATTACCGAACTTCAACTTACGTCTGTGTCTAGTAGAGTTTAGTGACTTCAAAACTGATATAATTTCAAAGATGCAGTTAATTGAGTGTCTTGACATTTTATGATCTAATACTAGGTAAAGCAAGTTATCCGTGTACACTAAATTTCAACGGGTTTCCCGCGGAATGTGTTGTTTCTTATCTGTACCTGACTGATTTATTCAATTAATATAGATATTACTTGGACTAGAATTGTGAAAAATCCTATTTCTATACTTTTCTCAGCTTTATCTTCTAGAATATTCATACACTCAACCGATAAATAAATGACCAGTTTAATTCTTTGGCATTTATTACATTATTATTCTACATTTGAATGTTTAACCCTACTTTTCCCTGAATAAAGTCCTGAGGTGAACATCAATTCTGAGATGCAGATACACCCAGTTGATGAGTCCCAAACAGAACAAAACGCGTGTCCTGGATTTCGTTGCTAGCCATCATCTATCTTTAAGCAAAAATGGATAGTGGCTAGCAGTGAAATCCAGGATTCGCGTTTCATCGTATTTGGGACTCGTCAAGTGGATGTACTTGCATCTCAGAATTGATGTTCACTCTAGAACTCGAATCCAATACCGTTCACCTCAAGTGCCATCGCGTTATTCACTTAACCACTGAGTCCTGATAATCACTTACTTGTGCAAGTGGCAATATCGAGGCAGTACACACAGTATACACATATGTCAATAAGTGACTGACCAATGGTAGTCCTAAATAACAATGGGAAAATCCAAACAAACAATGCAAAAAATGAATTATGTATACTTATACTGCCTTTTTAATGACTGAAAGAATATAAACAGTTAAATCCACTAAACAATTGAATTCCTATTATTCTACCACGTTCATTGTTCCTAGTTTATTCACATTTCTAAGTATAAAAAATGGCATAGGAATTTGTTCTGTTTTCGTTTAATGGAGAAAAATGGATAAATGGATATGCACAAATCTATCCAATTCACAAATTTTTTTATACATTTACTTGTAAACGGTACATACAGTGTAATAGATTACCTCAATGTAATACAATTCCTTATATAAAATATAATTATCTATTAGATTATATACATCTATCATGGATTACTTCTAGTATTAAGTACATGACCAGTATTCTTGATAACAGATGGGGAGTTCCACAATACGACGAAATGGCCGTCCAGTGCTTCCAAGTTATCCATAGTGATCTAGCTTCAATTAACTCATGATCTCAACTATTGAAATTACTACAATCTCAACTAAACTCCTTCTGAAACAAATGAATCGTTAATTATTATTTCTATTAATCCTATGAATATTGATTATTGTCATTATATAATTGAATAATTAAATAAATCCCGCACCCCCTCGAGCCGTCTCAATGGTCTAGTTGGTTAAGCGCCTGGCGCGAGACTGATAGGTCCTGCGTCCGAATCTCGCGGGGTGCGGTGTCGTGGGTGCGCACTGCTGAGGGGTCTCGTACTGGGACTAAACGGCCGTCCAGTGCTTCCGGGTTTTCCATGGTGGTCTAGCTTCAATTGACTCATCATTTCAATCTGTGAAAATTAAATAAACTTTGGTGATTAATATAATAGAATTTTTATAATGAACTAATAATTTATTTTGTTTTAATAATTTTTCTTTGATATTTTAAGCCAATTATTGGATCATTTACCAGAAGAATTGAACCATTAACTAATGATTCAAATAAACAAACAGATTTTACAAATGTAAGTTAAATTTTTAAACATAAATATAAGGTATAAACAAATTATCTTTTTGTTCAGTCACTTAGTCAGTCAATCAGTCAGCTACAACGTAAGACCAGGCACATATGTGCATCAGTCTAAGTTGCCATACCTCATTACCACAACAAGATGAACACCGAATTCATAGAAGTAGGTAATTCAATGATGGTAATATATAAAACAAAGATTGTATATAAGGACATAGTACAGGAAGAAAGAATTAGTTCGTAGAAAGAAAGATATGAAATAATTTTAGTCTCATAGTTTAAGGGAAGACAAAGAGTGCATACACCTACACCATTGTGGTCGATTCTGAGCCATGTCAATCAGAGTCTCCAACCATTGGTTACGATAGTCGCGTGGACCCCAACCAAGTAGTATGCATCTCCCAACATGGCTCAGACTAGAAGTTAGTGACTGCAAGCACTGATGCCATGTTTTGGTTTGGCCATACCCAACTTTCTTCCAACCATTCCCATCACTAGTCAGCATTGGACATCGTGGTGATCGGTGTTCAGGCATACCGAAAATGCGGCCCAACCATCTCAGTCGATGAACATTTACAACCCCATCAACTGATTTACCATCATTCCTTAATACCCTGTATCTAACCTAACTTACTAGGTGATCCCATCAGATGCCAGCAATATTTCTAAGACATCTGTGATTAAATACTAGTAGCATACGAGTATCTTCTACTCTTAATGACCACGTTTCGCTGCTGTAAAGAAGAACAAAACAAACTGCCGCACAGTATACTTGTCCCTTAATTGATAGATATCCTTCTGTTAGGCAATTAAAATAAATTGATTTTAAATCTATTGAATAAATTATGATTTATTTTTCTTCTTCATGATATCAACAATGAATTAGTGCAAATACTTGATTTCTTTTATTTCCTTCTGAAAGAAGATATTTTCTAATTATGATGACTGATATGAAAACCAATTTGTATTAGTTGGTAATGCTAATGGATAGTTAATTGAAAATTGAAATAAAATTAACTAATATTTAACTGAATGGGGGGTTTGCAGAGATTGTAGTAATTTTAATAGTCAAATTCATAAGTCAATCTAAGCTAGACCGACAGAGGAAATCTGAAAACACTGAACGTCCGTTTCGTTCTAGTATAAGAATCTTCAGCATATGAACCCACGATCCCTCATGCTGGACTCGAACACAAGACCTTCAGTATCGTGCGCAAACGCTTAATCTCTACCTGATATCTGGCTTAGATCGACCAGTGAATTCAACTTCGAAAATACTACGAACTCCAAAAATCCTCCATACTGATAACAATCATGTGCTCACTAGTGACTAGCTTCAAGATGGATTTCCTAGAGTTCTAGTGGGATGCTGTGACCAGTGGAGTCCAATCTGTGTCAAGTGAAGACAGTTATCAACCTCAAACAATAGATGAAGTGTGGCGGAAGATCGTGGATCGATTAAAGTTAGACATTAACAACTTTAGGTCACGGCTCAGTGGTCCAGAGGCTAAGCGTTTGCTAGGAAGTTCCTAGTTTAGAGTCCTATGTTCGAGATCGTGGATGCGCACCACTATGGAGTCTCATACTAGAACGAAACGGTCATCCAGTGCTTGTAAGCTTTCGATGGTGGTCTAGCTTATATCGACTCATGAATTCAACCATTGAAAAATTGTATTTCTATTATTATCAAATGCCTTATTTAAATCAACTAGTTCTTTTTTATGAACTATTAACTGAAACATCGAACTTTATAAATCATAGTAAAAGTCAATAATCTAAAGTCATTTCAACCATTTGTTCTCGATATCGAAGGTGTTGCGTTCAATCCTCTGTGGTAGAATAGTGGATGTTCACTAATAAGACATCTTTTACTTGGATAAGAACATCTCAATGCCTCCTGATTGTCAATGATTATCTAATTCAGATGACTTCATGAAGTAGACTATAAAAACTGAACAAATTATGTCAGTATCCAAATGCTAATGATAGTGCTCTTCCCTTATTCATTTCTTCATGAAATACTTTAAGTTCACTCATAGATCATATTCAAATTACTGCATATCAGTGAATTATTACGCAATTAGAATATGTGAATAACACTTACAATGTAATTTATTTGATCAACTTATTTTTTTTGGTTATTCCATAGGTAACTAGTGCACCGAAAAAGTCTGAACTATTAAGCCATCTACCTACGGATTATCAAAAGGTATAAATTAATATGAAAATTTGAATAGATTATTTCAGCTACTTTAATGTATAATGTGTAACATTGAATATTTGATTAGACATAATACAATTTACAACTAACAATAACATTGTATGAGGCCAATCAGTTAATGTTTGTACGGTGAAAATATTACAATCACTTTAGTACAGCTCTTGAGCTCTATATTTGAAAGAGCTAATTAGGAATATTATTATTTAGCAAGATTTTTGAATATTGCTGAAAGATTTACAAATTTCATTGCCCTCTGTATCTACGGTCTAAATAGATCGACTGAATCACTAGTAGTAATCGATGATCAATCAATAAAAAGTTAGGAATTACTAAGTTGATCAATTATTTGTCCTCATTGAGTTCTACCGATCAAGTTGCAAAGTTACCGCTAGTCTTGTAGTGAAGGAGAACATAGGTGAAGACAACCGATTATATTTAACAAAAATTACAGAGTTAATTGATAAAAACAGAAAAACTATACTCCTATACTTCATTTGCAAAATGTTCATTAATTGTCTCAAACTTCATTGTTCCTGCATTTCCATACCAATTGCTTTCTATTCCCATTCTTCCTTCTCGATCTTCTCAACCTGCTGTTGCCAGATATTCCATTCCTGACTAGAGTTATATACTACTTATGTTGACATAAGTAGCACACATCACAGTCTAAATGGCTCAACATCACATACACCAAACTTTAGAGCTAGATTATTTGAGACAACATCAATAGGAGATAATAATGATAAAACATGGTTTAAAGTATAGACTCTATGTTGAATCAATCTTTTCATCATTACTCTTACTCTTAAAATATCTTTATAACATACTTAAACAGACTTACTAATTTGCTCACTACTTATCCCAACGATCATTTATTATAAACATAATTGTATTTTAGTATAGAGTTGTGGAGATTATTAAGTTTTTGATTGAGGGAGTTCTCGGTGTACTGGTGAGAAGCCGTAACTAGTGGAGCTAATCTGTGCCGAGCAGAGACAGGTACAATGGAAGATGGCCGCGCAATTTCGTGAATTGGTTGAGATTAGACATTAACACCGTTGGATGTCGATTCAGTGGTCTAGATGTTAGGCGTTCATGCGCAAGACTAAATGCCTTGGGTTGGAATCCCGCGAGAGGGATCGTGGATGCTCACTGCTGAGAAGTTCCACAACAGGACGAAACAGCCGTTCAGTGCTTTCAGGTTTTCACTGATGATCTAACATCAATCAGTTCATGATCTCAATTGTTGTATTTTGATACATTACAAATCCAATCAAATCTTTTAAATACCATAATTTCTTTATTCTATATATTCTATTCATTCATTTTACTTATTAGTTACGTGAAGCATTTATTGAACAAAGAAGAGAAATTCAACGTCTTCGTAAACAAATAGCAGAAAAAGATTTACAAATTGCCCAATTAGAAGGTGATATACGATTATATGAACCATGGCGTTAAATGACAAGTTAAAAAAATAAGGTTTTAATTATTGGCAAAATGAAAAAAAATGAAAAAGGAAAAAGAAAAAGAAAAACGAAAACAAACAAACCACCATTTTCTTTTACATTACGATTCTTCTTGTTGGTATTAATCAAAATGTGCCTCCTTTTTTTTCCGAAATTCTTTTTTGTTTATGGATTATTATGCATTGAAAACCAATAGAATCATATATATATATATATATATATATATATATATATATATATATATATATATATATATATATATATATATATATATATGTTCGGATTATTCTATGCAACATTATTTAATATCATTTAGGCATTCAATACTACTACTAACACTACTGATAATAATATTATAGTAACTAACAATGATGTATGTGTGCGATGCATTTCTACTCAATATGTTTATTATTATTATTAACTTTATACCCTGTCTACAAATTATCTTTACACATTATTATTATTATGATTTGAAGTGAACTGGATGGAAATAAAGTAGTATCTTTCTTTTTATATGATATGTTATCTAATTGTAATATGCAATCTTCTTATTTATGTTAATATCAATTAGTTAATCTTGTTATAATACGTTGTACGTGTATACTGTGCATACTTTCATTTCTTTTCCAAACATCATTGTTGTTCCTTTTTGTTTGTTTGTTAATCTTTATTTCTCTCTGTTTAACCGTCTCCCTCTCTCTCTCTCTGTGTGTGTCTCTTATTATTGGTGTCATTAGAAATATGTTATAATCAGAAAGAAAAAGTAAATAGACAACTATGATTTGGATTTATTAATTGATGTTTGTATTAATTATGTGGGTTTTTGATTGAGATCATGAACCGATTGATGTTAGACCACCACCTTTCGAAACCTGGAAGCACTGGACGGCCGTTTCGTCCTGTTGTGGGACTCCTCATCAGCGCGCATCCACGCATCCCCGGATTCGAACCCAGGGCCTTCGGTTTTGCGTGCGAATGCTTAACCTACTGGACCACTGAGCCGGTATCTAATGGTGATAGTGTCTAACATCAACCAATCCACGAAATTTAGCGACCGCCTTCTATTGTACTGAGGTAGATATCTGTCTCTACCCGACAAGGATTAGCTCCACTGGTCACGGCTTCTAACTAGAACTCCGAGAATTCCCTCACGAAGCTAGTCACTAGTGAGCACATGTTGATTACTAGTATAGGGGTTGTGGAGATTATTATGTGGTTTTTATTATTATTAATGATGATGATTGTAAAGTCTGAAGGTTTTAAGTGTAATTGGATAACTATTTCGTTCCAGTATGATTTTTCTTAATCTTCTAAAATTATCGTGTATAATGAAGGCTTTTAGCTGAGTATAGTGTGGCTCATGATTATGCCAAGAAATGGAGACAGACATGAGAAAAATGAACAAAAAATAGGATAGAATTAGAAAGGAAGGCCCCGGACAGAGTGTGTTGGAGAATGCTAGTCGGCGACCTATGCTCCACTCGGAGTAATAGGCGTAAGTAAGTAAGCGAGTAAGCAAGTAAGTAAGTAAGTGTAGCTCATGAGTTCACAGTTCTGAAAAGTAATTTAGATAAAGCCAGAACAATGATTAATGCAGAATAATATGAATTCATGGTATGTTTCGTGGTTATTCACCTGGTACTTACAATCATATATGTATTGGAAGACATGCTATAATGTAAAACAATTAAGATTGATGACGAAAAGAATTAGAATGACAAAAGTTATCAATAATAACTATATGTATGTATATATATTGGTTGAAGGTTATTTGGAGATGGAGTTCAAAAACACAGCGGGACAGGAGATGCAATAATTAAATGAGGTCAAGAGACAGATAAGATAATTTTAGACGTTGTAAAGCGTTTATATAACATTACTAGGATTGGAAATTGATAAAATGGGCTACATAATAACTGAACAGGATTTGAAAATTTTACATAAGTTAAGGGATTTGAGTAAATTGAAACTTTTGAGTGAAAGGATGGTTTTAGTGAACATTGAATAAGAATTAGTTTAGCGAAGACGATATAACAAAATAAACACTAATAAAATAATGATAATGACTAGAATAATTTACCAAGGTAGGAATAAGTCCATTTAATACTGACTCCTTCTGGATACATAAACAAGTTTTGAGTATTTTTATTACTATGGTTTCAGCAAACTGAAGAGACTCTGCATTTTCATGTCTGCTAATACTTTTGAAGGCTTGTGGAATGTCAGTGGTATGCCTGGTGTCAACTAAATACCGGGCTATTACACTGTTTAGAGCCGTCGCGCCTCTCAGTCTTAAGTTATTAGAGACGTGCTCGGAAATTGGGACATATACTATTCTTTCTAGTCTTTGAATGTATGTGATTTATCACGTACATGAAGTCTCTAAGTAAGACCGAACATATGACTAGTGTTCCATAATTGTAGATGACTGTACACTTGATACCATTTCATGATAAATATATATCCTTGATCATGGGAATCATCAATGAATTACATTTGTACTACTGAAAGAGCAGTCTAATGAGGCCAAAAAATAAAAAGATGTGCACTGCTGATGAGTTCCGTACTAGGACGAAACAGGCATCATGTACTTTCAGGTTTTTCATGGTGGTTTAGCTTTAATTGACTCATGAATTCAACTATTATATTACTATAATATTCATAATGTATGTCCTATCCGCTTCCAACGTCTCCTGATTTCCTCAGGTGGAAGTTGGTTTGTTCTCTCTCACAGTAGGCTGTTGCTGATGATATCTGGCTAATGGATATTGAGTATCACGCGTAGACAACTATTTATAAATACTTGCACTATTTTGATGATGGTTGTGGTAGTTCTGGAATTTTCAGCTTCGTATAATAGAACTGACTGTGTTGGTGTTCGTGTTGAAGATTCTGACTTTGATATTAGTTGATAGTTGTTTTATATTCCATATTTTCTTCAATTGTAGGAATGCAGACCTAAAGATATGGCTTTTTGAAAAAAAATCTTTGGTCTTAACCACATTCAAACATGAATGTGAACAAGTGACAGCGTGATTATTACAGTTCATTGTTATCAAAATAGTAATTTACAAATAAACTACTAGGGACAGGTTTAAAGAAAGGAAAATGTGGTTAGAATTTTTTTCAGTAAGGCGATGAAGGGAGTAAATAATAAATCTTTATCACAGTTATTTTAATGTTATTCAATCAATTTCATTTAGATGAATTAAGAACATATAAGCAGTATGTCGGAATGCATTACGGTTACCAATGATAGAGGATCTATTGGCGACAATTAAATGGCTTTTATAGGCTTCGTTGTAAATAAGTACCTCATAATATATTTCAAGAGTCAACAGTTTCAAGGAAATACATAGACCACAAGTCAATATCTTTCATATTCTGTTATTAAAGCGGTACATTTTAATATTATCTTAATAATTTTATAAACAGGTTAATTAAAAATGCAGTCAGAATAGAAATTGAGAATACCCACCAAGTATTTGGTTTAAAAACTCACTTATTCAATCGTGTACAAATCCAACCCCAATATAAGGTGACTAATTTCATTTGCCTGAAATGCATAACTGTATCACATTCGATATGATCAAACTCCACAGGTCATACATTCTTACCAGAACTCTTGGGATTTCATTTCTGATAAGGAGTCTCATACTAAAACGAAACATCTGTCCAGTGTTTCCTGGTTTTCAGCACTTATTTAGCCTTTTTCACATATTATACTTCGGGTTTCGGATTATTCATTATTCATTATAGATATTAATTTCAACATTAGACTTGATAGTTTCAAATAAATTAAGCATTGGGTAAACAATTAATTTTTTGTTATATCCTAATAATATGATGACAAACTTGCCGAATTATACTCCCTATATAACTGGCTCCACAGGAGCAGTTGAACCGATAGATACACATGAACTTGACGAATTCAGGCAATCTGTCTTTATTGACCGTTCTTGTTGTGGGGTGGTTGTAGAAGATAGCACTTGGTCTGGTTGCATCAAGTGTTTTTTGTACCGCTTTTCTTAGTCTCTACGTCACAATTTCTTCAGTAGTGTCATTTATGAATTGTAATTTTATGAACAATACTTTGTTAGGAATGGTAGTTATCTTTGTCCTTCTTTTCATCTTCTTCATGTGTTTGTCGATGAATTTCATTGGGTACCCATTCTTACTAAGTTATGAATATTAACCAATACATCTACGATAGTGTCATCCGAATAAATAAGTCTAGCACGATGAGTCGGGATCTTTATCAAGTTCCTTTTGTAGCTGATTGGTACTGCACTATAGAAATGAGTGTACTGTCCTGTTGCAGACTTTCTGTGTAACCCTCTTTCTAAAGCCAGTTATATAGGGCATACAATTCAGCAAGTTCATTATCGTATAACAGAGCACCATCCGTCGTGGTTGAGCAAAGGATAGGTAAGAATGATTAAGAGTTCTATTCTCGCTTACTTGGTTGACATAGGTCATCAAGTTGAACTGAATAAAGCTTTTAAGGTTATCTACCATATTTCACCGAATTTGCCACATGGCCTTTTGCATATTTCTGAAGCCATCGCAATCCATGTTCAAAAACCTAACCTTTGCATCCAAAACAAATTTATATCCTAATAAGTAGAAAAATTATATTTCTGACGTTTCGTCACTTAATTTCAGCCACTTCTTCAGAGTAAATAAATAACCCGAAAAAAAGTTAACTATTAACTATTTCATTAGATTAAAATAACATCCCGATTGAATACAAAATATCTCTTTTAACCTAAATTGTAAAGTTCATGCTTTACTATAGTTTACTATATACATTTTATTTTTCAGTTTACATTTTCTTTATTGAGTTCAAATCCTTCGTATACATCAATATTAGAAGGTATTTTCACCGAACAAAAAACAACAACAATGAACAATTCTACCGATTTCAAATTACTAGTGTTATGTTACTTTGTTTTGTATTTAGATGTTATATTTCAGGTCATACAAAATACTACTACTATTACTACTACTAATACTACAACAACTACTACTACTACTACTACTAATAATAATAATAATAATAATGAAGAACTAGATTTACAAAATGAAATGAATCAATTCAATACCATAACATTTCCTTAAATAACTTGTAAAATATATTTACCAATAGGGTAAGAGTGCAACTTATATTACTGAATAGGATAGATCTAAAGGT